CTCGACATGGACGTCCTGTCGTCCACGGCGATAATCCATTGCAAAAAACACCACAAAGAGCACACGCGCGCGTTCATGTCAGAATCCAACCGAACACCGTGTGTTTGCAAGCATTTCAACATAAAAACACAAAAAAAAAAACAAAAAAAAAAAAAACAAAAAAAACAATGTTTTTTTCACAAAAATTCTACAATTTTCCTGCCCAACTCTCTTGCTGAAATCATAGGAAAACCATAGGAATCTTAAGAATTCGGTCAAATCCAGCGATTTCACGTCATCGCGCGGTGCACTCGCGATGCTCTGTCATGCACCCAGGCCGCGAATCCTGTGCAAAACATACCACGCGGGCGACATGCGCGCGCGTCGCCGCGAGCGCATGCTCAAATCCTTCTAGAGTCGTCGCGGTCATTGGCACCGTCGCATGGACGTCCTGTCGTCCACGTCGCAAAATGCATAGCAAGAATGGGACGCGGCGCACACCCCGCGCCCGCCCATCCAATCCGTCCCATTCTAATCTGCAAAAGACAATACACAGTTTTTGTTTTTCTTGTCAACATGGTCGTGCTGTCGTCACGTCGCAAAATGCGTGGCAGGAATGGGACGCGGTGCGCACCCCGCGCGAAGGGGTGACATGTCGCTCTCGCATCGGCGCCGCGCACCAACGTTTTTCCTCTCAGCATGGACGTCCTGTCGTCCACGTCGCAAAATGCTTGGCAGGAATGGGATGCGGCGCACACCCCGCGCCCGCCCATCCAAACCCCCCCTTTATAAAAAAACAGTACAAGTTGGGGCCTTCAGGCTTCATGCGGTGTACCGGGCCATTCTCGACTCGTCTGGCAATGCGTGCGCGGCATTCAACACGCGCTCGCCAGTTCCCGTCGGCAACCGCCATCGCGGCCGCATCAGCTGTACCAAACCGGCTGGCCGGTGTGACTTCGGCCCCCAGTTGCGCCAGCTTTGCTTCTTATGTTGTGGGAGGGCGGGTGGGACTGGGCATGCCATGCTTGACTCGCTCGAGCTGGCTAGCTTGACTCCTACTCCTACTCCTACTCCTACTCCTACTCCTACTACTACTACTCACTAATACTACTACTACCTACCACCACCCTCCCACTACTACCACTACGACCACAATACCCAACCACACTACTACCACCACTACTACTACTACTACTACTACTACTACCTACTATATACTACTACTACACTACTACTACTATAACTATGGCTGCTACTACTACTGACTCCGACCACCTACTACCCACTACACGACTACCACTATTACTAACTACTACTACTACCAGCCAACACCCAACAACACCATCACCACCACTACTACTACTACTACTGACTACGACTACTATACTACTATACTACTACTACTAGCGACTTACTACTACGTACTACTACCACGACCACCACCACTGACGACTACTAAGACTACTACTACTACTGACTACTGCGACTACTACTACTACTACTACTTTAATACGACTACTGCTACTACTACTACTACTACTGCTGCTACTACTACTACTATTACTACTACTATTACTATTACTACTACTACTACTACTACTACTACGACTACTACTACGACTACTACTACTACTACTACTACTACTACTACTACTACTACTACGACTACTACTACTACTACTACTACTACTACTACTACTACTACTACTACTACTACTACTACTACCACCACTGCGACGACTACTACTACTACTACTGCTACTACTAATGACACTAATAATAATACCACTACTGATGCTACTACTACTGACGCTTTCACCACTACTACCACTACTACTATAACTACTACTACTACTACTACTACTACTACTACTACTACTACTACTACTACTACTACTGCTACTCCTACTGCTACTGCTACTGCTACTGCTACTACTACTACTACTACTACTACTACTACTACTACTACTACTACTACTACTACTACTACTACTACTACTACTACTACTACTACTACTACTACATACTACTACTACCTACTACTACTACTACTACTACTACTACTACTACTACTACTACTACTACTACTACTACTACTACTACTACTACTGCTGCTGTTGCGAAATACTTTCCAGATGATTGAAAGATGTGTTTAAGATGTCTTGAGCATGTGACAGAAAACATGGCTTCAAACAGGTTTATAACATTTTCGGACATGTCATAAACACATGTTTGGTTCAACGATGGGATTGTTGGCGTGTCCCTTTGTCACGGCATCCACAGTTCGAGGATCGCGTGGCCGCCTCGCACCACTAGAACATGCTCCGACATGTTTAAACAATTTTCTGGCTCCACGATAGGACCGCGAGGCTGCCGCGGACCCCGTGCTCTCGCGGGTAGTGAAGCGCATGCACCGGGCCGCCCTGCTGCCGGACGAGGCGCTGGCCCAGGGCCTGAGGCTGGCCTACACCGCGCCTGGGGGCAGCTCGGAACCCCGCCTGGACACGGACGCCCAGGGTGCGGCAAAGAGGGGGGTGATGACTAGGGCGGACCCTCCCGAGGCCCCCAGAGGGCCCCAGTGGGCTCCGAGGTGGCGCGAACAGCTGGGGACACCCTGGGCCGGGCACATGCTCGGCAACGCCCCACCTCCGGAGACCTGGTAGGGGACCTGCGGCTTGGCATCGCTGGGACGTGTGCATTTTTCCTTCGGCGAGGACCATCGAGGATCATCCTTGATCATTTGGCGAAAAAACCACGCACGAAACCGAAAAAAACACAGGGAATGGACGTCCGAGCGATGGCGAGCTAGGCGGGGGTGGATATCATGCTGGGGTTAGGTCGGGCTTGTCCCTGTACAGGAGGAGTATGCAAAAAGAGTCCAGAATAGTCTGGGGACTATTTCATTATTCTGTTTTGACTATTGGGGTTTATTTTTGAGTATTGTTAGTTTTTCGCCCAGAATCCGTCTGTAGAGAGACGCGCCCGACCACTGACTAGGGGGGGATACCATACTGGGGACCATGATATGTCCCCATATTACACGGCGTTCTTCTTATTTAATCGCTTCGCTCATTCCGCCGGCCCATATTGTCGCACCGTTGTGGGCTAGCCGAGTTTGGGGGCCTCTTGGGGGCCGTTTTTGGACCTCTTGGGGCCTCTTTTGGGCCTCTTGGGCGCCTCTTGGGGCGTCTTGGGGGCCTCTTGGGGGCCTCTTGGGGCCTTTTTGGGGCCTCCTGGGCGCCTTCTGGGGCGGAGGGCTCGATTTTTCAGTTCTCGGTTCTCCTCTTGAGCCCCTCTTGGGCCCGTCTTGGGGCCTCTTGGTCCGTCTTGGGCGGCACTTGGGCCGTCTTGGGGGCCCTCCTGGGCCGTTCCGGGGCCGTCTTGGGAGCCTCGTGGGCCGTCTGGAGCGGTCTTGGGGGCCTCTTGGGCCGTCTTGGAGCGTCCGGAAGCCGAAAAAGCCAGAACGCAAAAAACATCGAAAAAAAACAATGAAAATCAACGATTTTGGCCTCTTGGGGCCCTCTTCGGAGGCCTCTTGGAAGGCCCTTGGGGCGTCTTGGAGGCCTCTTGGGCTGTCTTGGGGCCCTGTTGGGCGTCTTCGGGCGATCTTTGGCCGTCTCGGGGCCCTCTTGGACCGTCTTGGAGGCTTCTTGGGGACCTCTTGGCCCGTCCTGGGGCCCTGTAACAGGGCTCCGGCATCTCTGGCCCGACCTTGCCGGGACCTTGCCGGGGACTTGCCGGGACCTTGCCGGGGACTTGCCGGGACCTTGCCGGGGACTTGCCAGGACCTTGCCGGGGTACTTTTCGTCCGGGGACCCCCAGGGGCCGCCCCGCGCGCGCGAACTAGAAATATTGTTAACCAGGTACCGGAGATCTTAGCACGCCCTGGCCCGCGAATTGTGAAGGCCTGACGGCCGGTGCCGCCGACCCTGAAAGACATCGACGACGACCAGGAGGAGGAGGAGGAGGAGGAGGAGGAGGAGGAGGAGGAGGAGGAGGAGGAGGAGGAGGAGGAGGAGGCAGTGATAAGGAGGAGGAGGATACCAGATTTCACGGCGCCTCTTCTTACTTCATTACGCCCCTGCCCCCCCCACCCTTGGGCCGCGCACATGCCGCCGGCCACGATTTGCGCCCCCCCCTCTTGGACGCCCCCCTCTTGGACGCCCCCGAGGACGGGTTGGTCACGCTGTCGGTGTACCTCGACGGCGACGGCACCGCAGTCACCGAGGGCGCCACCATGCAGGGAGGCCAGAGAGCAGCGCCTCCGACGCCGCAGGGGCGGGGGTGCTTCGGTGGCAAATCATGTGAGCCTCGTATACCTTCGCGCTTCCGTCGTCAGAGAGTCGTGAGAGTGCACCTCTGTCGATTAGCGTTTGGTCAAGGACGGGACAGCGCCGGTGCGGCGATCGGCGCCGATCTGGCGTCGATCGGCACCGATTCGCAAAAGAGCGCAGGATCCTCCTCCTCCTCCTCCTCCTCCTCCTCCTCCTACTCCTCCTCCTCCTCCTGCTCCTCCTGCTGCTCCTGCTCCTCCTCCTCATCCTCCTCATCCTCCTCCTCCTACTCCTCCTCCTCCTCCTCCTCCTCCTCCTCCTCCTCCTCCTCCAGAAGGGTGCTGGCAGGGAGGTCCCCGCCCCGGCCCGAGTAGCCTCGGAGGTCCGCGCGGAGAGCCCCGAGAGTGCAGGGCTGCTTCGCGCCGCGGCGGCGCGGCGGCGGCCCCAGCGTGGGCGCTCGGGAGCCGTTGGTTCGTCGGTGCAAACGGGGGTCCGCCAGAGTCAGCCACGCGCGAAGGGGGGTGGGGGAGGGGGGAGGAGGAGGAGGAGGAGGAGGAGGAGGAGGAGGAGGAGGAGGAGGAGGAGGAGGAGGAGCGAGGAGGAGGAGGAGGAGGAGGCGGAGGAGGAGGAGGAGGAGGAGGAGGAGGAGGGAGGAGGAGGAGGAGGAGGAGGAGGAGGAGGAGGAGGGAGGAGGAGGAGGAGGAGGAGGAGGAGGAGGAGGAGGAGGGAGGAGGGGAGGAGGAGGAGTAGGAGGAGGAGGAGGAGGAGGGGAGGAGGAGGAGGAGGAGGAGGAGGAGGAGGGGAGGAGGAGGAGGAGGAGGAGGAGGAGGAGGAGGAGGAGGAGGAGGAGGAGGAGGAGGGGAGGGACAGGAGGAAAGGAGGAGGAGGAGGGAGGAGAGGGAGGAGAGAAGAAGAGGAGGAGGAGGAGGAGAGGAGAGGAGGAGGAGGAGGAGGAGGAGTAGGAGGAGGAGGAGGAGGAGGAGGAGGAGGAGGAGGAGGAGGAGGAGGAGGAGGAATAGGAGGAAGGAGGAAGGAGGAGGAAGAGGAGGAGAGGAGAGAGGAGGAGGAGCAGATGGAGAGGGTAATGCGAAGGCGCGCCTCCCTCCACCCCCTGGTGCGCGCCGCCAACAGAGCGCCCGATCTTGCAGGATCCTGCAGGGCCAGGGGCGCATTGAACCGGGCTTGGTCGCAGGATCCTGCAGGATCTCGCAGGGTCCTTCGCACTGACCCGGATTTGGGCGCAGGGTCCTGCAGGATCCTGCAGGAGTCTGCAAGGCCTGACTGGCCCGGGCCTGGACGAACTCGGGCCAGAAGATCGCCGAGGCGTTCGACGTCGAACGCCGCTGGTGGCCAAGAGTCGGCCGACGCTGGACGGCCGGCACCGTCGAAAGGCCGCCACCGTTCAGGGCTTAATGATCCACGCCCTGACAGACGCCAGCGCGCGCACGGCGTCACGACCGGAGGAGGAGGAGGAGGAGGAGGAGGAGGAGGAGGAGGAGGAGGAGGAGGAGGAGGAGGAGGAGGAGGAGCGAGGAGGAGCGAGGAGGAGCGAGGAGGAGCGAGGAGGAGGAGGAGGAGGAGGAGGAGGAGGAGCGCCCTGCCCAAAGGACGCCGAAGTCCTATGAGCGTTTTCCGGGTTCGGGAGGGGCCCGCTGTTCGTGTGGGGTTTTGCCGTGGGCGTTCTTTTCCGGCGTTCTTCGCGCACCCAGGCGCACTTAGGGTTGCGATGTTCCAACCTTCGGGGGCGGAAAAGAGGGGGGTGATGACTAGGGGGGGTGGATATCATGGCGTGGGCCATGATAGTTCCCCTGATCTCATGGCGCATCTTCTTATTTCATTACGTCCCTGGTCCCCCCGCTGGGCCGCGTACATGCCGCCGGTCATGATTTGCACCCCCCCCTCTTGGACACCCCCCTCTTGGCCGCTCCCGAAATCTACTTTAGCCTCGATCACCAGAAAGAATTTCGAGCACCAAAAAAGTACCGAAATGCGAGGGTTTTCACGTGTTGCGCCCTGGGAGACACTCGTCCGACGCTGCTTCGGCACTCTTTCGACACTCTCCCAGGTGCTCGAAATTACTTCTGGGATGCGGTCCTCAAGTACGATGGGGGCAACATAAGTTTGGGCAAGAAAGGAGCTTCCTTCCTTTTCGGCGCTCCTTTGCCGAAGGCGGCGGCACAAGAGTGCGAAATGGTGGCTGCTCGGCGAAGAGCCCCAGCACCTGCTGAAAAAAATAGAGTCCGAAACCGCGCAGTACATTGCAGGCTGTTCGTACCGGCGTGAAGGGTGGGTGGAGCCTTCGCCAGTCTTGAATGGCGAAGGTCACACGATCTTCTTCTCCCCTTTTTCGTTTTCCTTCCTGGACTGATGATCCCGCCCGTCCGATCAGGAAAGGGGTCGCAGTCGACTGCGACCGTGGAGGTCAGTCCTCCTCAGCAGGCGCGGGGGGTTCTCAGAGGCCCTCCAGCCTTCTGAGGAGGAGGAGGAGGAGGACGAGGACGAGGAGGACGAGGAGGAGGAGGAGGAGGAGGAGGAGGAGGAGGATGATGATGATGATGATGATGATGATGAGGAGGAGGAGGAGCCTCTGGCTTCGGAGACGGGTTGAGAGAGTTTCTCAGAAGGCCAGAGGCCTTCTAAACCTTCCGAGGACGACCTTTTGCCTTCCCCCCATCGACGCGCCGCCGACTTCTGGCGGCAGTCTGACCGTGCGCGTACTTTGCACAAAAAAAACAACATCGCGAAAAATCACGACCGCCTTGATAACATCGCTATGCGGCCGTGCCCGTGCCAGATCGATCCGTGATGGTCCCAAGGCCTGGACGCAGGCGACAACACCCGGCGTGGCAAAAATAGCAACGCCCTGATCTCAGGTTCTGCGGCATGCTGAGTGGCTTCGGGTCATAATTCGGCTCTCCAGTGGCCGTTCGGGACGATCCGGGCACCCCCGGAACGCTTTCGGCGGGGAGCAGCCGCTGAGAAGCATCCCGAGGCTGGAAAACCGCCGAGGACCGACGAAAAAGATCCCGAAACTTTGAACCCAGACCCCCGACGTCAGGACTGTTTCCTCACGTCGACCCCGAGAGGCCTCGACCCCTTCCCTGGGACCGGCCTCTCATCCTGAGTCGTTCTGTGACAGCCGGTAAGGGCCCCCGGGGGCCGAACATAGCGAAGAATCTCCCGTCGTGATTTTTGTCACGACGCGAGGGGGAGGGGGAGGAAGGGGAGGAGGAGGAGGGGGAGGAGGAGCAGGAGGGGAGGAGGGAGAGGAGGAGGAGGGGGAGGAGGAGGAGGAGGCGGAGGAGGAGGAGGCGGAGGAGGGAGGCGGAGGAGGAGGAGGAGAAGCCGCGGTGCGGAGCGGCTCTCTGGCCTCCCGGCCGTCTTCCCCCGCGGCGCCTGCTCGGGCCTCGCGGCCTGCTGCACGGAGCTGGCGGCGATGCAGGGCGCCTACGGCGGGGGCGAGCACGGCGCGCTGCTCGTGCCGCCCGTCGCCGGGCGCGCGCTGCTCCTCTCGGCGGCGCGTGGGGGTGGCCCCTCGCCGGAGGCTCCTGAGGCTCCTGAGGCTCCTGAGGCTCCTCCTCCTCCTCCTCCTCCTCCTCCTCCTCCTCCTCCTCCTCCTCCTCCCCCTCCTCCCCCCTTTCGGGAGCCTTGAGACGGGGGTCAATGCAAACGGGGGTCAGCCAGGGCACCCGATCCTGCAGGATCCTGCGAAGACCCCCTCTGGCGGACCCGGGTTAGCGAGCCGCCCGTGGCCGCGAGGCGGCCGCGCATATTGGTTGACCCGGGTTTGCGAAGACTTGCGTTGCAGTTTTTTGTTTTGCATTGCAGTTTTTGGTGTCCTGCTGACCCGGGTCTGGATTGGCCCGGGTCAGAAGATCCCCGAATGGCGCCAACATTGCAGAGCGGATTCCGTTCGGAAAACGATGGGGTGGGCCCAGAGAGTCCTGGAGAGTCTCGTTCCGGATTGCGGAGTTAAGTTCGCGCGGGGTTCTGTCGGGCCAGGAGCGAAGACCCACAAAAATCCACGTGAGATTCGCTTCGTCGTTCCCTCGGCGTTTTGGTCCAAAATCCACGCAGACATCCGCTGCAGCACGTCTGCGAGGCCGGTGCACTGATGAGGGGTTACAGGCCTCAGAGTGCAGTGAGCTGATCGACCCTATGAGAGCGAGCTGCTGGATATCTCCGCCCAACCCCACTTCGATCCGATCGGCCCGATTTGGTGCCGATGCTGGCCGATTCGATGGGGCGATTCGAGTCGGCGCCGGTTCGGTGTCGACTCGATTCGGCGGTCGAGTGTCTACATGGCCCACTCCGATCCGATCGATGATCGAGGCGATGCGGCGATCGATTCGACGCCGATGTTCTCTGTCGATTTATCTGCCAATGCCTCACGCGTCCCACGTGCCTGGCGCCACGGCGCCCGCCTGCGGCACCTCTAGCCAGCGACGGCTGCAGGTCCGGCGCTCCAGCGATCCGGTTCGCTTTCGGCGCTCCAGCGATCCGGTGCGGCTCGATGCCCTTGGCATCGCTCGGACGTGTGCATTTTTCTTTCGGCGAGGACCATCGAGGAGCATCCTTGATCATTTGGCGAAAAAACCACGCACGAAACCGAAAAAAACACAGGAAATGGACGTCCGAGCGATGGCCAGTCAATGCCAGCATGGCACCGTCGCGCAGCTTGGCGCAGCCGAGCCGATGCGATTCCGATGTCGAGTTGGTGCGGCCCGACCCGGCGCACATGCGAAGTCGGTCCGACGTTTCGATTCGACGTTGTTTGAGATCCTGCCTACAGTCGGGGCCCTGAAGAAGGAACCGTTTTCGTTGGGGAGGGTTTCGGTGTTCCTTGAATGTTTCACAGTTTGCCTCTGGTTTTCCTGAGGTTTTCCATGGGAAATCGAGGTTGAACTTATGGGAAACAGGGGCCTCGTTCCTTATTTAGGGTTCCTTAGGTCAACGCCCCGACAGTATGGTGCGGGCCCAGAGGAGCCACCCCAATTCGAGGGGGGAAACACGGGGACAATGACCAAGGCGTCGAGAGATTCAGTCGACGCCGATCTCGGTTGTGGTCCATGCCAGCCGTCGCCGATACGCGAGGACGATCCACAAGCT